AAAATCCATTTGTGTTCAGTGGAGAAAAAGCGAATAGGTTTGGAACAACATGAGGGTGAGCAAATAATAACAGAATTTTCATTCTTGGATGAACTATTGCTTAAACACCAAAGCAGCGGAATTAAGACAATATAGCTGAGATGAAAATTCCAGTCAGTGTTAGAGATGGGAAGGTAAATAGAGGATAGTCCCTCTGGAGTAACTGAGCAGGAAAACAGAGAGTGTTTACTAGGAGAGAGAGCTTTATACAGCAGGAGCTCTACTGGAAGTTAATTAGAGACACAAAGACATAGTGGCAGCTTACATCCCAGATGAACAGACAAACAGTTAAAGAGACTGACAGACAAGAAGAGATCTCTCTATTGACATACTACAGACTGACAGATTATTATAGTGCTGCGAGATAGAAGAGAGACTTAGTTCAGCTTTGACAAGAAGGAAAGGCCAAGGATCTTGGCCGGTTGGGCATGCTTTAGCCCACTTATTGCCCACAGGAGGAGGAGGAGGAGGAGGAGGAGAAGGAAAGGTGCCGTTCGGAGACGAAAAACAGAGGGGGGTGAGGAGGGCGTCCATCATGCAGAAGGTAAGTTCAACAACCACAAGGCATCTGGAGTTACACCTGCCAACCACACGAGAAAGAGAGAGAGAGAGAGAGCAATGCAAGAGGCGGCAGAGTAAGTACACACAGAGGAGAGAGAGGTTATAGAGAAAGAGGAACAGAGACAAAATGTTATAATATTAGGGAGGCTGAAATTGAAAGTACAGAAAATGAAAGAGAGGGGGGAAAAAAGAAAGATATAGGAAGTGAAACACAAAAGATGGGATGGCAGTAACGACTAAAACATACTGTATGCAAGCAAATTAACACTAATGCTCGAATTCATGTCACTGGGTTCTAAAATGCGCCAATACACACTTGTCTTCTCCCTGTATTCTCAGAGTTGCCACAAGGGGCGCTACAGCAGTAAAGCAAGCTGTCTTCTTCTATAGTAGGGGTCACCAAACTTGATCCTGGAGGGCCGGTGTCCTGCAGAGTTTAGCTCCAACTAGCCTCAACACACTCACCTGGAAGTTTCAAGTATACCTAGTAAGACCTTGATTAGCGGGTTCAGGTGTGTTTAATTAGGGTTGGAGCTGAACTCTGCAGGACAGACGTCTGATGACCCCTGTTCTATAATCTGTTTACTCTTCTAGGTCAACTACTTTAATGGTGAAGTAACAGTTCTTGCGGAGGAAGTTTGATGTTTAATACGAGTGAATACTTCCCACAAAAAGCAGCAGTTCGAACAGGGTTTTGCAGGAACAAGCCTTAAACCCAGAAACAAGTTGGTGTTTTTGCTCTTACAGTTCCATTATCCTGAAAGGGATAGTTCACACAAAAATGAAAATTCTGTCATTAATTACTAACCCTCATGTCGTTCTAAACCCTTAAGACCTTTTTTCATCTTCGGAACACAAATTAAGATAGCTTTGATGAAATCCGAGAGCTTTCTGACCCTCCATAGAGAGCAATGCAACTGACACGTTCCAAGGCCCAGAAAGGTAGTAAGGACATTGCTAAAATAGTCCATGTGACATCAGTGGTTAAACCTTAATTTTATTAAGCTTTACGAATACTTTTTGTGCGCAAAGAAAACAAAAATAATGACTTTATTCAATAATTTCTTCTCTTCCATGTCAGTCTTCAACACGCGTTCACGATATACCATGACGCATGCGTGTGGTGCTGCTGACGCAGGAGCTGGTGTTCTGACGTATAAAATTACAGTTGAACCACTGATGTCACATGGACTATTTTAACAATGTCCTTACTACGTTTCTGGGCCTTGAACGTGTCAGTTAAGCCGCTTTTCCACCGAAATTACCTGGAACAGTTTGTCCCAGGAACTGTTGCTGTCCCCCAGACCTGTTGCTGTCTGCGTTTCAATCGCGGTCTAAAGTACCGTGAAGAATAGGCAAATAGTCTGGTGACGTAGGTCTGCGCGCGTTTCTCAATACCAAGTACGCAAATTTCGGACTTGCATCCTCGGTAATTCGGACTTTGCAAGTTCGACTCGGGACTCCCGCGCACGGAACGACGCAAGTCCGGTAATTCTGCAAACAGCAGCATACTTGATAACATCATTCAGCTCGCCTTGGCTACTGCAATTTTTCTCACTGTATTTACAATAAGACGAAATATGATATCAAACACCACTGCCTCCTTTCGTTTTCATTTAAACATATTAATAGCCGCAGAAATGTAGTTCAGGCAATGTATATAGCCTACATTACAATGAAATGAAATGAAATATTATATCAAACAGTATTGCCTCTTTTTATTTTCTTTTTAACATATTAATAGATTAATAGAATAAAGACCAAAGATTACCTGTTAGATTTACCCAAAACAAATGATATCTTATGTTTAACCACTAAAGAGACATCAGAGCCAGCGGCAAATGTCAGAAGGACTAGCCGAGTTGAGGCTGCTCTCGTCGGGATACATGATACTGAGCGCCCGCTGATCGCGTGGAGCTCAGCGTGGAGAATCGGCGAAACACATTTCTACTACATTCAGAACTACATTCTCACCTGAAATACTTTTAAAACTACATTTCATGACACAATAACAGTAATATTTTGAAAATTATCCAAATAAATGGTTGTTAAAATACAATGCTGTGTGAACTCAACCAATCAGCATGTTTAGCGCCCAAGTCCTGCCCCGAAAGTTCTGGACCTTTGAAAAGTACTACCTCGCGAGCAGGGACTTTCTGAGGGGCAATTTTTTTACCCGGAACTTTATTTAGATCCTGGTTCCTGCGGTGGAAACACACCGAGTACCAACCCAAAGTCCCTAGTTCCTGGGTAAAGTTCCTGCGGTGGAAACGGGGCTTTACATTGCTGTTTATGCAGGCTCTCAGAAAGCTCTTGGATTTCATCAAAAATATCTTCATTTGTGTTCCGAAGATGAACAAAGGTCTTACATGTTTGGAACGACATGAGGGTGAGTAATTAATGACAGAATTTTTATTTTGGGGGAACTAACCCTTGAAGTCAATTGGTATTTTGAATGATTTTTGGTAAAATGCCTGAAACAAGGTCTGTGGTCAACACAAGCTCAATAGGCTTTCGTGCTGTTTTTGGGTGTCTTGAAAAAGATGGTTGGTAACAAGGGGCGAAATAAGACTGCAGAGATTGTCTGGGAAATTAAACGTCATGATGCTAAAAAAGTAAATTCATCTACTCAATATTCTGCTTTTACAGCCTCTTTGTGTTTACACTTGCACCCTTGCAAGCTATTCAAATGCAACTTTCCAACTTGTAGATTTTAGATAAAGATATAGAGTTGTTAGAAGCTTAGTGATGGTGATGGTAAAAGTTATGACCATGGTCTAGTTCATTTATAACCTAACTGTAGCTTTTCACTTCTGGCAATTAAACGTAAGCTTCAAAGTTGTGTTTATTTGTCAAGATCTAAAAAAAAAAAAAAAAACGTGCAAGAATCGTAAACTTTTGTTGGTCACAGATCTTTTTTTTCTGAAATAATTCAAAAGCGAAAGGAAAAAAATATTATCAGCTTTTTGTCGAGAGAACCAGAGAGATGCTAACTTCCGATTCTAACAAAGTTGTGTTTACAAGGTACCGGCTGATAAATGTGCCTTTGAGGATGATACTGAACTGTATTTGCCAGGTTTTTGGCATTGGTCTTTATTCAAAGGTTGTTACAGCCAAAAACCGTACCATGCATTTGCAATTTACTGCATTCGTGTTTGCATTTGCGTATAGTATGTTATTAAGTCAGGAGGCAACATGTAAATGAGTATTAAAATTAGCTCATCCTGAATATACTCCTCAGAAGAACCAGACAATAAACAAGGCATAAACAAAGCAACTAAAAGCTGGAAAAAAACAATGATCCAAAAGAGAAAGCAAATCTTGCCGCTATGATCACACATGGGATCATGTGCTTATTTTGAGGAAAATGACTGACCGAAATAAATTCAGCATAGTAGTTTTATTTAGAGGTCAAAGCCACAGGCTGTTTTCCATGAGCCCATTCCATCAACCTTGGGCACGGTCTAAAAATGGCACACTATCAACCCTGAGGACCCATTGATTTGTGCAAGCTGATACATTATGGACCTCAGATTTGGTTGGGAGAGGCATATGAATAGATGAGGACAATAGCATGAAAACGGGCAGGCAAGAGGTAGAAAGCAAGAGGAGATTTTACAAACACGCATTCACAAATAGGATTAGAGCAGGCATTGAATGAGACAAATCAGAAAAACACACACCAGGAGTACAGAACTCACAGCCCACGCCAACATGTGAGTGACCCCAACATGTACGTCAATGTGAGATTTTGCGGATTATATCCTGTGTGTGTATGTGAGTGCCTGTATATGTAAGAAAAATGTTTGCAAAAGAGATTTATACAGTCTAATAGTACAGTATATAGTGAAGTCCTCAGCCATATGCGTGTGAGAGAAAGAAACAAGGACATGTAAGCAAGAAAGATAGAAAAGGGAAATTCAGGTGAATGAGGTCACAGCCAAACCAGCTTGATGGGAGCCACCCACAATCTGAGTTGGGTGGGTTCTCGCCAGGGTGGATGCTGATTGGTTGTCTTGGCACTATGGTTACTGTTGCTACAGTAGCATAAAAGTTGTGACTCAGAATTGCAGAGAGACTACAGCAGAGGTGTGATGGTCAAAACAGCAGCTACAAAACATCTGCCTTAGAGGAGAAGAGTTTATATTCATCTAATGAACTTTTACAAAAGAAAAGTTAATGAATAAATTCTGTTTTAGATTTATGACGAGCCACATCATTCAGTGTTCATTAAACTTGTGGAATATTTTTTTAACAATTCATTGTATCTGGCACAAAATTAATTGTTAATAAAAGGGTGTTTAAAAAAAAAACAACTGCATGTATTTCAAATTTTTTTCATAAAACACAGGCATATCAATAATAAATTTTTACTCTCTACATGTTTTTCATATATACACACATTTTATATAAATACAATTACTTAACTTATGTAAATTTAAAATGATCAAACATTTATAATCTTGAATATATAAAGTATATGAATACACTACCACTTAAAAGCTTGGACACACCTCTTATAATAATAATAATAATAATAACACAAAAATATAATTAATTAATAACAGAATGTATTAAATGTATATATATATATATACTGTATATATATATTAACATTATAATAAACAGAATCTGTTAAAAAAATTAACTTCAAGCATTTCTGCATAACACTTTAAATCAAACAGTTGTAATATCATGCATAAATTCAGTCAAGTGTCTCCAAATGTTTAACGGGTAGTGTATTATATATAAATGAATAAGTATAAAAAGTATGTACTAAATATAACAGTATGTACAATGTTAATTCAGGGTTGAAAGGGTTAATAGTGTTTCAAGTCAGGCTACTATAAAGCACTACAGGCAAACAGATCAGACACTCAGCATGAGGACTATGACTGCAACATATGGAGTCAGAAAGTATAAAGAGTAACTCTAATCCAACACTATTTGAACCTCAGAAACACAGGCTTGGAAATGCGCTCTTGAGGGTCTTTCCACATGCCATTCTTAGGTTTGTGAGAGCAACAGTGCTGAATTGACTTTGGTCACTTTTATACTTTTGATACTAAACCCCATACAAGCCACTGTTACCAATCAATAGTCCTCTAATCATATAAGACAATATAATTAGCTGCATCTAATTTCAGGTTTGATCTGCTTCTAGTGATTCATGTTCCTGTTTCAAATTAAGCGTTTGATCAATGCACTGGCACAGATGCAAATGCATTATTCTTCATGTAATCTAATTCTGGATGTGAGGAGGGGTGGATATATTCAGAGGCCTATGAGGAGCTTCATTGTGTCCGGTCTGGTCAGAATTACAAGCCTTTCACTGTATATTTCTGCCTGCCCGGACTCTGAGACCCACGGGGCATTGTAGTGTGTGTGAGGCTGGGCGGTGTGTACTGTACTTACCCCGTTCCACTCCACGCTCATACTCACTTCCTCTCCTCCGTCAGGGCCGCTTTCGTACTTCACCGTGTCAGAGGTCAGGCTCTCACGGCTCCTCTGCTTCTCTCGTACTTCAGGGTCTCCCAGCACCTCTGCCACACGCTGCTTATGTGCCGTGTCCAGACCCTGCAGGAAGAGAGACAAGACAACATGCTGAAAATCAACAAATATGATCTGAAATCTTTTTCTAACATCCAACAACCTATGAATCTAATTACCTATTTATAGAGAATTACAGTGACTCTATATTCTATTAAATCCTTAAAGTTGCACAGAGTACTTGTATGACATTTATATGGCACCTTTTGTCCATTTTTTAAGCTATATATCACCATACATGTTTGCTGTATAGAAAAGGCATTTTAAACATTTAGAATAAAGTGATATATTTCACACATTTTATTTTACAATAAATAAATAAAGAATAATAAATTAAATAGTGACAATAAAATATTCTACTGCTGAAAAAAAATTCAGAATAATTAAGATTTTTTAAGAAAGAAAAGATTTTTGAAAGAAGTCTTTTTCCCAGCAAGGTTACATCCCCCCCCCCCTGTAAATTACAAATATTATAACATTGTGAAATATATATATAAAAAAATCAAGTCAAGTTTTCTATTTTATATATTTTAAAATGTAATTTATTCATGTCATGGCAAAGCTGAATTTTCACATAATCCTTCAGAAATCAATCAAATATGCTGATTTGATGCTTAACAAACATTTGTTATTATTATCAATGTGAAAACAGTTGTGCTCATTCATATTTTTGTGGAAACACTGACAAACCACCATTCAAAAGTCTGGGGTAAGTACTGTTAAAAAAATTAATACTTTTATTTAGCATGGATGCATTATATTGATCAAAAGGCAGTAAAAATTGGCAGTAAAGAGCTTTATAATGTTATAAAAAATTATATAAAAAATGCTGTTCATTGAACTTTCTATTCATCAAAGAATACTGACACAGTAATAGGAACCATTATTAATAATTGAGCACCAATAATAATTATTAATAATAACTATTGTTGCCATCATAGGAATAAATTAAATTTTTAAATACATTCAAAAATTTTTTTATTATTAATATTAAAATATTATTGCACTTTATTTATTTTTTAAATAAAATAAACTAAATAATAAAGTGTGATAATACTATTTTATTTTTTAAATGAAAAGTGAGTATTAAATACAAATACAATTATTTTATAGTAAACTTAAAAATAAAATGCTAATATTTTTATTATTATTATTTTAATTTGAACCTTAATTATTATTTTTAATTTGAATTATTTTATTTTTTCATTTTCAAACTTAAAATCAGCAAGCTTTTATTTTGGCGGGTTGCCGGTGCGGCAAGTAAGTATATGCGCTTCTGGGTTTAGCGCTGCCGATTGTAGAGCGTCAGTGAATGAAATGTCACAGTTTTGCATTGTGCTTTGAAAATGTTAGTGGGTAGCCTAGATTTATGCTTTCAGTTTGAATAGAAATCGTATACAGTACAGTTTGTCGATCTAAAATGGTAATTGTGCATTGACAGCTGTCAACCATGTCGGTACGCAAAAGTGCGCTCTGAACTAATTTACACAGCGCATTTCTTATTTTGAACACAAACATTTATTATGTTCACAAAAACTTATTTTGGATGCGATTAATCGTTGCCCAGCACGTGTATATATATATATATATATATATATATACATATATACAGTATATAAAATAATACATTAATTATAATTACAATTAATCTTGTCATTGATAAAACCCATTTCTATCATGATCCCCCCAGAAGTCTTTCATTAAGGAAAATACTGATTAACATAATTGCAACCAAATGAGCTTTGTAACTGTAATAGCATTACAGAAAGCTTTAAACACCTGGCTGCATGCCTAGCTAAACCTTTATGAGGCCTTAATAAAGATCTATTGAATCCTGACGAACATGTTTCAATTCACGGTTCACCTGTTCATATCTGACCAACAGACCACACACACACACACCTGCTTTCTGGAGCGCAGAGTCGCCTCCTCCAGAGTCTCCGCAGCCTCAAACTTGCCCTGTCTCCTGTAGAGAGCTCCGAGGTTCTTCAGTGTGGTCGTGACAGTCGGGCTGCAGGCAGTAAAGGTCAGACAGGAAAACACTTCATTGTGATGCTGCAGCAGTAACACTGCACAAACAAATGTGTATATTTGTATCAATGTATGCAGCAGTTGAGGCAATATCTGACCTGTCGACTTTGCAGGCCTTGTACCAGCCACCATATTCTCCAAATGGAGAACCATCCTTCTGCTTGCCCTGAAACAAAGAAAGCACAAAACTCTCAATATCACAATTATTTGACATTTATCTGACACAATTGTCTGACATTAACAGATTACCAGCAAATTACTCTTTTCCCGTGACGCTTGACCTCTCCTCACCTTGCTTTGTTCTTCTCTCTCCTCTGCATGCATCCAGATGGGTTTATTTTCGTCTGCAGGGGGAAACCAAGGACATAAAAACAGCATCAGTTCAAGCCCAAACACAGACACACACACCAAACCATTAGGTTCAATATAATGAGTTATGGTGTTCTTGTGCCTGAGGTGATCAGTGAGTTCACTGACAGAAACAGTGGGAGCTTTTAGCTTACAACTGAGCTCTCTGTTAGAGCTTCACAACTGATCAACATCTTTACCTGTCTATGTGTGTGTGTGTGTGTGTGTGTGTGTGTGTGTGAGCGAGCGAGCGAGCGAGAGAAAGAAAGAGGATACTAGTGCAAAAGTCAAAAAAAGTTTGTGCATAATTGACTTGAAGTGTGCAAGCATTAGGGCTGGGTGATAGAAATATTATCTTGATATTTTTAGCATTTTGACTAAAATGAATACATCTAAATATTTATGTACTTTCACCGAAATGGCTTAAAAGTGTGAGAAATATTTTCCTAAACAAACATGTAGCTAATTAGATTAAAATAAACAAACAAATAAATATTTTTCTAATGTTCACACACTGTTATTTACTTAATTAATTATACTGTAGGCACTAATATAACAATGTACAGTAATACACAGCGATATTTACATATAGTTCTTACTAACACATTTTAATATAAGAAAAATGCCACATAGTGACAACACAAGTGTTGACACAAACAAATTATTGAATCAGTGTTTTAAATTGATTCACTAAAACTATGGACTAATGACTCCAGGAAATGAATCACACTTGCCAACAGATACCGACAGAGGCAATATTAAAACATTATATTAATTAATCTATATTAAACTATTTCTGGCTGAGCTCTCAAGTCATCTCATGATTACAAAATTAATCTAATGAAGCAATCTTTAGGAAACATAATGGCCAATTATTGCCATTTTCACAATGATGATTAACTTTATACTACCAGCAACATCATTTCACATATAAAATGAATAAAAACATCCCCCAGCTCTAAAGAGCAAGTTAAACCTCACTTTGAATTGTGTGTAAATTTCAGTGTGCTTAGCTGCTGCTGACGGCATAAACCCTGCTTAGAAAGTCTGTGAGCTTTAGTTTTGAGTAGAATATTATAGAACAAATTTACATACCCTATAGAGAACAACACAAAAAGATATTCAGAAAATGCTTGGGTCAGGAAAAAACACACGTACCACCTACAGAGCCAAACTCTCTCTCATGGGCTCTGGTGAGGATCTCTTTATACAGAGTCTCTGCCTGCTTAAACTTCCCCTGCTTCAGATAGCATGAAGCCTGAGAAAAAGAACAAATGGGTCATTAATAACGATGGACTAACTTGAATATTTTTAGTAGATAACAACAATCACATTTTCCAGATTTCACTTGAGTAAGTATATTTTGATTTTATTATGTGCAGAAAAATGTTGATAGACACTATCAATACACTATAATAAATGCACCTAATTAATTAGAAATAAACCTTGATTGCAACTGGTGTTAATTTGATCAATAATTGTCCAATGACTATCAGTGGCTGATACATTAGCACATCTAATCATAACAGGCAGAAAGCCGAAACTTCAGTCTGCTGAAAGATGTCTGAGTCTGAACAGGCATATTTACTCTAAAAGCGTCTTCCATTACACTAAAAGCTGAATGATCCATATCTGATGTGTGAAATCTGCTTAGACGACAGAAATCCTGCAGCAAATAACACCGCAGACCCCACACCATATGGATAAGTTAAACAAAAGCTGACCAGTCAAAAGATCATTTCAAAATGAACCTGTTGTATTGTAATGGGATATTTGATTGCCAAGTAAGACAATCTGTAGTAGGTTTTGTTTTCTCTAAACATACTCAGGAATGCATATATCCACAAATGGATGTCGTTTGTTTAAATGAATGTAGAGTGTGAAGTGTGAGTGTGTTTGTACCAGGTTGTTTTTGGTCTTGGCCACATTAGGGTCGTCAGGGCCCAGTTTGGTCTGGTAGATCTCCAGGGCCCTCTGGTAGTAGTACTCCACCTCTTCATACTTGCCTTGGTTCTGACACAGCAAGGCCAGATTATTCAGCTGCTTGGCAACATCAGGGTGGTCCTTCCCCAGCACCTGACACACCAAAACAAACACACCCCATGTTATCCACCTGCTTTAGACATCATCAGTCTTCCACTGATTGAAGCAGTTTACACCCACCCACAGACAGGGGGTTACAGGTTATTCAGCTGGTTAGATCTATTAGTTGAAATAGCCACTCTGAAGGGCCATTCACACAGAACGATTTTTTGCATTCCACTATGCTGCTTTTCCGTCGTTTTTCTATGCAAGCATGCACTAGATGGATGTGTTTGACAACATCTTTTGCAATGTCTTGCACATGACACAGCATTAGAAAAAGTGCCATGTTTTAGAACGCTGTGCAAGATGCAGCAAAAAAAAAAAAAAGATTTTCAACCTTTTTTCCATCTCACGTGTTTGCATTTCACTGTACTACTTTGCATTGTTATTCTATGTAAATATGCACTAGATTTGACTGCTGCATCTTTTGCTGCACCTTGTGCATGATGACACAGCGTTTTAAAAGCGAAATGCGCTGCTCTGCTTTTCTACAGTTTTTCTATGTAAAAATGAGATAGATGGATGTTTGATCATTGCATTTGTGTCTCACGTCTTTCGCAATGTCTTGCACATGACATTGTTCTAAAATAGTGGTGCTTAAGTTAAAAGCAGTTCAAATTTTAAAAAACATCTTTTTTATTCCACTACCCTGTGCCTCGCTTTTTTTTTTTACGCAAAATGCATTCTGTATAAATGGCCCCTGACTCTAGAAAATACATGCAAATGAACTGAACACAGATAGAAGCAGCATTTATGATACTAGTGTTGTTAGATTTTAATAGTGATTTGAGATATATTTGAAATGAAATTACTCGAATTCATTCCTAAGCTGTATTTCTCGGTCTATAATAGACAGGCCATGAGGGTGCTTTTACTGATCATTTGCAGTGAGCATCTCTATGTGTCTCCCTCTCTGTGGGTGTCCAGGCGCATGTGGAGAGAAATTGACAGTTCAAAGGCAGGGGCTCTGTGATCGTATGCTTACTAGGGTTGTGATTGAATATTTTGTTGAAAGACAACTACTTCCACCAACACAATCACTATTCTTTATCTAAATCATCATCATCATCATCAGTTTCAGCAAGAATACACAAGCACTGAACAGTACTACAGTGATTCTACCATAGTGCCTAAAAGACTTTTAAAACAATATGGCATCAACTGTACAGGTGCATCTCAGAAAATTAGAATATCATGAAAAAGTATTTTTTTCTTTTGTAACTTATTTCAAAAAGTGAAACTTTCATATATTCTAGATTCATTACAAGTACAACATTAAGTTTTTTCTTTTAATTTTGATGATTAGAGCTTACAGCTCATGAAAGTCAAAAATCCAGTATCTCAAAATATTAGAATATTTCCTAAGATCAATCAAAAAAAGGATTTGCAAAACAGAAAAGTTCAAGTTCTTTAAAGTATGTTCATTTATGCACTCAATACTTGGTCGGGGCTCCTTTAGCACAAATGACAGCATCAGTGAGGTGTGGCATGGAAGTGATCAGCTTGTGGCACTGCTGAGGCACTAATGAGCCTTCAGCTCGTCTGTATTGTTGGATCGACTCCCAAGTTGAATCTCTTCCAAGTGTTTGAATCAGCTTTGCTTGACAGTATTCTCAAGATTGCGGTCATCCCTGTCACTTGTGCATCTTTTCCTACCCAATTTCTTCCTTCCAGTCAACTTTGCATTTAATATGCTTTGATACAGCACTCTGTGAACAGCCAGCCTTTTCAGTAATGACCCTCTGTGACTTACCCTCTTTGTGGAGGGTGTCAATGATTGTCTTCTGGACCATTGCCAAGTCAGCAGTCTTCCCCATTATTGTGGTTTCAAAGAACAAGAGATACTCGGAATTTATACTATAGGGATGGTCACTTAATGAAACTCAAATGTAAATATTATAATATTTTGAGATACTGGATTTTTGACTTTCATGAGCTGCAAGCTCTAATCATCAAAATTAAAACAAATAAGTTACAAAACAAAATGAACTTTTTCCACTATATTCTTATTTTTTGAGATGCACCTGTATTGCAGAAGAAAAATTTTCAATATACTGCATAACATCTCATAAAACAAATTGTTCTGACTCTTAACTCTATTTGAAAGAATTGTTCCAAGTAGCTGTAAAATGTAAAACTCATATGTGACTATACATTTCAATGCAGAGTTGCTTCTTTTTTAACACACAAGTCTTAAAATGTGAAGAATTTCTTAGGTGATGCAAACACATATTCCAAATAAATATACAGAGAAATAAAAAGAGAGAAAGTGCACTCCATTTGTAAATAAAGCTGTTACCATATGATTATTTAATACACAATCTACCACATTTAAAGGTGACATATCATGAAAATCTGACTTTTCCAGGTTTTAAGTGCTATAATCAGGTCCCTGGTGCATCTACCAACCAAGGAAACGTGAAAAAGATTAACCCAGTAACTATTTTGGTAAGCCTTTTTCTGCAAGCGTCTGAGAAAACGAGTGCGTCAGATTTCGCTCCCTTGGTGACGTGGCAAAGGGATCTCATTATAATATTACCGCCCCATAATCTGGAAGTTTACACCCACAGCGCCATCATTTGATTTTGAACTTAGTTTAGTACTCACATGCTGTGACAGCCGCTTTCTGTCCGTATGCTTCAGATGTGTGCACTCAAAAAAACGTATACCAGAAGTTTAAACTAATATGGTTTAAACCGCATGATTTCAGCGCGATAAACATGATAATCAGAACCAAAACAGATGTTTTTAGCAGATAAGAGCTGTAATGGAGCAGCTCTATTCTGGAAAAGGGGGCGGGGAGCAGAAGCTCATTTGCATTTAAAGAGACAGGCCCGAAAAACAGCGTGTTTCTGCTTCCACTCAAAATAGGCATTTTCAAAATGATATAATAAATGATCTGTGGAGTATTTTGAGCTGAAACTTCAGACACATTCTGGGGAAACCAGAGACTTATATTGCATATTGTAAAAAGGGCCATAATATGTCTCTTTTAATATACCACTTATAATTCTTATATTGTGATATATATACACACTATAATATGTACACTACCATCCACAAGTTTGGGATCGGTAAGATATTTAAATGTTTTTGAAAGAAGCTGCATTTTTCAACGCTGCATTTATTTGATTAAAAAATAAAAATTTAATTATTAATTTCTTTAAAAACAAACAAAGACAAAAATCTTACCGACTCCAAACTTTTTAATGGTAGTTTTTGTTAATACTGCCCAAGAAAGGACAGTGTGAAATGTCTGCAGAAGTTAAGTGATGAGAGTTTGGATTCAGCAGGTTGTCTAAGCTCTTTCTCTCAGCTCTGCATGTGTGAGACGCAGCACTCTGAGTAAGACTCTCAAGACTTCCAGTAAGAGCTTTATCACACAGGCTTAGAAGAAAACTCTCCATAAAGAGATCGAAATAAATCTGTGACACAGCGGGAGAGAGCAGGAATAGTGTCTAAGCACACCATCCTCATCTGCACCGAGAGTGTGCGGCTGCTGCAGGTGTGCAATTCAGCAATGTGCTATTTTTGGATAAGTTAAAAAAGTTGGAGAGAGAACTATGGAAGGAGATGACCACAATAAAACTCTAAGTAGCAGAAAAAATAGTCTTAAATAGTAAACTGAAATAATAAGTTCTTCTCAACAGGTCCAAGGGAAAATATGATGTCCTATTTTGGAAAGATAGGTGTCAGTCTTCCTGAGCTCTACAAACACAACTTAAAAAAGAGGCCTGTGTGTAATTTCAGGTCTTTTAAGTTCACAAAGTTTTACAATTGTAAAAGTCACTGCAGAATAGCAATAACCCCTAAGAAAAAAAAATAGGGTTCAGCTTCTACCACTTCACTGCTTAGTTTCACATCTCTCCTAAGACTAAAATAAGTCAAAGCTTCTGAAGATGGATGCTTTATTCTTTAGTTTTTGAATGAAAGGGATGAAAGGTAGAGAGAGAGAGAAAGGCAATGTACAGAACTCAGAATGAGAGTTCACAAAACCGACCGGGAATAAAGACTAAAGTTATTAGAAAGTCATACGCATGATTCATCAGGCTGACCTCTGACCCACCTTCTCTCTGATCTCCAGTGCCCTTTTACACAGAGGCTCTGCTTCCTTGTACTTCCCTCGTTTGCCATAAAGAACGGCCAGGTTGTTCAATGTGGCAGCCACCTGCATACACAGGAAAACATAAATATATATTTACATACATACAGATATTTCAATCATACAGCTAAAAAAAGTCAAATTTAAATAAAACAATTAAAAGAACAACAAATCAACAATTCTGAATTGGTGCAATCATTTATATACAATCAGTCATTTCATCTTACGGAAAATGATTACTTCTTGGAAATCTGATCAAGGTGAAATTTCCCCAGTGTGGGCTGTCTAACATGCATACACACATAAACACCCTGTGCTGTGCTACAGATGTGTTCTGATCAACCTTTGATTGAGATACCTCAGTGCATGTGATACACATATGTGCATGACAGACGGCAAGAGTGAGAAAAATGAAAAGGCAAACAGCAGGGCTGAGCGAAATAGCTAAAACATATTTATATTTATATTTTTGGATTTGTATTTTTTGGCCTTTTGATGATATTGTATATGTATAATACTATATTTATGCATTTATTCGGAAATGGTGTTAAAAGGTGGTTTCTTCAATCAGCAGAACCATAATTTCATAAAATAGCCATTCCAGACAAATACTAGATTCAGAATGTTTCATATAAGCACTAAAAAGTAAATCTAAAGTAAATAATCAAGGCATGTTTTCCCCCTACTGTTTTTTACTAAATAAATGCAATGAATAATGATATTTAATCATTTACATTCACCAATGTAACTGTACACAGAAATAAACAGCAATCTCTACCAACTTCTATTTTAATAATTAAAAAAATATGAAAACATTTGAGTAATGATGCAAACAAATAATAAAATCAAGTTTTTAATCGTTAATTGATACAAAAAAACTGAACTAAATTGAATGCACAGAAATGTATTAAACTGGCCAATTCTAACACTAAGTTTTAATCAGAAATAGTAAATATTAATGCAATAAAATATTGCGCTTAATACATTTTCAATTTGTGAGAAAATGAAGGATTGTGACGCCTATTAAAATCGTTATGAAATTCCCTGTCGCTCAATTTTATATCACCCAGAAAATAATCATAAATAAATTTAGTGAATAATCAATGTGTCATCCAGCTTTAGGAAATAGAGAATGAAACAGAGGACAGATCAGTAAGAGGTGTTAAAGTATCTAACCTCTGCTGAGAATTGTGGGATGCTGGTCCTGATGAGAGGGCAAGACATAAGCTTCACATGACAAACTTAATAAATGTCAGCAGCCTGTGCTGCTTAAAGTGCCCCTATTATGCCATTTTTAAGGTTGCTAATATTGTTATATGAATCTCCTAAAACAGCTTTACATGCATGCAAGGTCAAAAAACAAGTTAGTTTTCTCAAAAAATAGATTTAATTTTACCTCATTTCTAAATTATTCGTATGGCTGATCGACAAGAGACTGATTCGCAAGCACAACTGGAGCAGGACGTTTCTCAGTGGTAAGTGTCAAGTGTTAACAAGTTTGTGGTAATTATAAGTGTAGGATACAACGTCTTCTCGACATGATGTTAACCACATGGAAATGTTACTGTTTGTGGGCGGCCAAGTTGGCGACGTAAAACGTGGGCGGAGATTATGCAAATGTGTTACTTCATGACGTAGAGCCGTAACAGAATAAGATTCGAATTCCTGACGACTCGTTTAGGCGATTGCGAGCCGACTCTTTTTTTTGAAAGACAATAACTTTATTTATCGTGCACTGTCGGCTTCACAACTTTGCAGATAGTTTATGTTCACATACAGCTACATGACACACTGCATGAAAGGTAATATTCGAAAAGGCATAATAGGGGCACTTTAATTCAATATACAACCAATATGCGCACACACACACACACACAGCAGACACATGCTGTTTATACGGGTTTTCCTGTAATGTGGAGAGCATTAGAGCCAGACACACTGATGAGGGCAGGACGGGTTCTTACCGCAGGGTGGTCTCTGCCCAGGGTCTTCTCTCTGATGGCCAGTGCATCGTTAAGGAGGTTTGCTGCCTCTTTGTATTTATTCTGGTCCCTGAAGAACAGAAAACACTTCCAATCAATCTACTGCTACTCATTGTGCAACAAAGGGCTGTTGCTAAGGTCTTCCTGAAAAAAAGCTGTTTCCATGGCAACAGGGTGATGGCACAATAGCCTAATGTCCCAAACGTCTTGCAAACCAGATATTACCATAGTTTAACAAAAGCTATGAAGGATGAGGTTCTCAGCCCATTTGTTTGAAGCACTTGTAGATACCATAATGTGGTTTAAGATATTAGAGGTGAACCAAGTGATTTTCCACAAAAAATATTGACTCTGCATATTAAGTTGTTATAGAAGAAAGTATTATAACTTGACTTGAAACAAACGACACCACTTTTAAATTAGACTTGCACTGCTGCTCAGAAGTTTGGGGTTAATATGATTTTGAAGAATATGAAGTTTCTTATGCTCACCGAGGTAAAAAATACAGTAAATATAGTAATATTGTGAAATATTAAAAATGTAAAATTGTATACATATTTTACAATGTAATTTATTCCTGTGATGCAAAGCTGAATTTTCAGCATTAATACTCCAGTCTTCAGTGTCACGATCCTTCAGAAATTGTTCTAATAATGCTGACTTGATGTGCAAGAAACATGTCTTATTATAATCAGTGCTGAAAACAGTTGTGCTGCTTAATATTTTTGTGGAAACCATTATAAATTTTTTTCAGGATTATTTGATGAATAGAAATTTCAACGTTTTGTTTTTAGCATTTTAAATGTCTTTACTGTCACTTTTGATCAATTTAATGTGTCCTTGCTGAATAAAAGTATTAATTTTAAACTTAAAAAAAATAAAATCTTAACAGACCCCAAACTTTTGAATGGTAGTCCACATAAGTGAGCAGTACTTGTGAATAACATGCTTACAACTATACAGTAAAGTCAGCTGAGTGGACAGCAAACAAATATATTTTAGAAAGCTGAAGTGTTTTGCAGACCTGTAGACGAGGGCAAGAATGTTGAGCATGGTGGCTACATCAGGATGATCGTGTCCAGATGTTTTCTCCAGATCTTCCAGAGCCTGTTTGCAGAGAGGAACGGCCACCTCATACCGGCCCTGCGAGGCGTACTGGATCACCAGGTTGTGGAGGGTTCTGAGACGAGCGGGGATCTCGTACCCTCCCTGCTGCGCTGCTGCCGCTGCACTGCTGTGAGGAGGCTGGACTGGAGGGGCAAGACAGAATGAGATATGGTAAAACAAAATGTATAATACAGGGTAAAAATCTTAAAACTAAATATCGACTAAAAGAATAAATAACAGACCCAAAACAAATGGTGTTCGGCAGGAAGCAATATTATAATGCTTTCAAAAGGTGCATCATTTTGGTCTTTGTGCATTAGGAAATACCAGAATGAACTGTGACAAGCTCAGTAAAAAGAATGCTGAAAGATAATATATTTCATTCAACATTGCAAACTATTAATAGTTCTAATTCAAATATCTCATTGCAAAAAACTCTATATATTTTGTGCTCATTATAAAATTGTGTCGTTATCTTAGCAACATATAGGTTTGGATATTTCTGGTATTTCTGCTGTAATTATGACAAAGCTGCTTGTTTTCCAACCTTTTTATTAACAGAAACTAGGAGCGTTGATATTAAATTAATTAACCATGATTCAGTTTCAAGAGTTGGATGCTGTTCAATAAAAACAATAATAAATAAAGGGAGAAAAATATTATTTCAGTCTTAATTTGAAATTAATTGAAACTTAATTGAAATCTTAATTTCATGCATATTTTCATATGTATTTTTATTTGTGTTAGATTATTGCAATATATTAATATTTGTAATAATAATTAATAAAATAAATAATAAAAATGTATGACAATTTAAATACAATTAAAAATAATAAACAATATTTAATTTACATAATTTAAAGTCATCTTGTGGCCCAGCAGAAGTTTACTGAAGTCCTCAAATTGGCCCTGGCCCCCGGCCCCCCTAGTTTGGAATTTAATCATTTGGTATTGGAATCAGGTGAAACTGAATGATCGCTAACAGAGATGCTGCTAATGCAGGGCGTTTAAAAATCGGTCATTTCAGGTTTCATTTCAGATGCTGCTAATGTGGACAGCAGCAGACATTTCACTAGGTTTTTCTGGAACAAAGTCTGTGTTTGAGCTAAGACAGTCAATTAGCAAAAGTCAACAAGTAGCTTCTTTCGAAGCACTTCTTACTAATGATCTAAAGATCTAAAAGCATGTATTTCCCAATTTGACTTAAGACCAAAACAAACTTCAAATTAGCCAACTCAAATAAACTAAGAATGATCAAAAACATGGCAAAATGAAAGTGAAAGGATTACATTGCCAGCACTTCAGGAATGAGAAGAAGAGATTAATGCGATCTTTCTTAGAGCAGATTAATGTCGGCCTCTTTGGAAACCCCTGCTGGAGATCAATTGCTGCAGGGATGCATCACTGAGAGAGAAACAGCCGTCTGGCATTCATGTGTCAGAATGAGGGCTAATCTGAGCATGCTCAGGACTCGGCAGTGTCAGCCTGCGACATATGATGCCGCAAACTCCCGTGCACTGGAGCGCTCTCTGCCACAACACGACCCACGCTGCCCTTTGATCCTGCTCCGCAGTCAATGAGCCAATTATCAGGCAGGAGAACAGAGAAAGTGGAGGGGAGGAAAGGAAATACAAGACAAGAACCCCTGTCTAGCACAAAATAAGGAAAATAACTGTTGTTTGTTTCCCTTCCCATATCAACCCACCACACATTAAGTTTTCCACAATTTACACTTTTTATTTTACTAAAATACAATTGTGGTAAAATATACTGATTCGAAAAGAGTGCGAGGGGCATGAATGTAATACATTTTTTCACTCTCAAGCAAATTATATTTCGAGTTCATTGAAATTTTTAATTTTCTTCTTTAAAAAATGTGCAGTGATTGTACCATGGTACAGTGATGGTATCAGATGGTGATATCACACTACAGTGAAGTACAGCAAGGTACAAAAGTCTAAGACCACATTGAAAATCTGTGATGGTTTCATTTATCCCAGAAATAAATAGAATATTTGTTTATATGTATATACACATATAAATATAGAGCTTTATTTAATATGCACTACTGTTCAAAAGTGTGGGGTCATTAAGTGACTTTAAGAGTAAGGGTCATTAAGAGTAAAGGCTCAGGAATAATTTACATTTTATAATATATTAAAATAGAAAATTAGAAATTAGAATAGAATGATATTTCACAGCATTGCTATCTTTACTGTATTTTTGGTCAAATAAATGCAGCCTTAGTGAGCATAAGAGACTTTTCGAAAACAACTGGAAAACCTTACTGACTCCAGTGTTCTGAACAGTAGTGTACATATTTAATTAAAATATACATTTTTATTTATAATTTATTATAAATAGAAATGATAATTTATCTTTGATTACATTAAATGAAATGTACACAAATTTGAAAAGAAAAAACATTACTAACAGACTCTGACTTTGCTGAGACTTGTATACCATGAGCCTGAATGGTTACCACTTTCTTATATCATGGTATATCAATGGTACTTCATACCATAGTGTTTTAATGGAGGCAGGTCTATATTTTGAATTTGAGTACTAGACTTAATAGAGCTACTGGTGTACTTACTGCCAGGGCCCGGCTCATCCTGCTCATCTGGGAAAAGATCATCCAGTGTCTCCCTACTGGAATCAGAGTCCTTATCATCCTGATGAGAATGAGGTGGAAAGAAGCACAGAGTAAGACTTAATAAAAAAAGACACACAGAGATAAAGGCTCTATGATAGACGTCAGGAGGAATATAAGATCGAGTCTCACTGATGGGCTGAGGTCCTGGTCATATTTCTTGAGCTGGTTCATGAACTCCAGATGTTTCTTCTCCTCCTCCAGCTGGGCCACGCTCTGCTCACTCTTCTGCAGCCGCTGCTGGGTTCCTGCCAGCTCGTCTCTCAGCCACTGGTTCTCCTGACACAGCCTACGCACCTGGAGAACAGGAAAAGCAGCCTCAGGGCATTTTCACACCAGAGCTTTTAGACTCATTTGTGAAAAGGCATAGCAACAGCGACAGCCCACTTTTTCAGCAGCCCTGCTTCAGGAAGCATTTTTCCCATAGTCATTAAAAGAAAAAGTAAATCCTTAAACCAAACCAATCAGCACAGAGGTGAATAACAACATTATAACTTGTGATTATAAGCCAAAAACATTATTTAAAATTTTGAATCTTTAATGAGCAATTGAATTATTTAAATATATATATATATATATACATATATACTGGTAACACTTAAAGCCTTTATGTACAATGCATTATAAAGGGTTATTAAGTGGTAT